GGTTCCCTGGATTTCTGGGATCATATTGAGCCTGAGAACTCGTCGGTCGCTTGACCACAGTATGCGGGCATCATTGCCCGCCACCTAAGACCGACGTCATAGTCGGCGACGGACCAAGCGATGGAGCGATCGCGATCGCTTTCGGTCGAGCGATTGGCAAGCGATTGCGCAATCGCTTGCAAAGTGCACAAGCGACGGGCAATGGCTCTGCTCGATCGATACCGCAGCCGACTGCATTGACTGGGGGCGGGGCCAATCGCCCGTCGCTTGTGCACATTGCAAGCGATTGCGCAATCGCTTGCCAATCGCTCGGACAAGCGATGAAGCGGTCGCGATCGCTCCATCGCTTGGTCCGTCGCCGACTATGACGTCAATAATTTGAGGCAGAAAAGAGCAAGGGTCTTGGCGAATCTACTTTACCTATCGTACTTCTTCACACCCAATATTCAAACGGAAACGAATACGGGCTCTGTAGGATAACACCTTATTTCTCTACGCAGCTACAGACCACTACGCCTATTTTTCGCCTCCGAAAAAAGTCGATGATGGCACAGAGAAGGAATACACAAGGGCAAATCCCACGATTCCTATAAACTCCTAATAATTCCTTCCAGATCTGAAAAAATCTTTTCTCATGTCTCCCAGAACAATGTCCACAGTACATAAGAAGATCTACTTCGTCAAAAGCCGCATATACGACACGTCGGTGGGAATTTCACAGTGTATAATTGACCCTGGTTCGACCTCCCGCGTGCTGTGGAAATTAAAAAGACTTACTGTAGCAATATTGCCTCGTTATTGATCGTTATTGAATTTGCTGGTGGGGACTTCGAAGAACAATTGGTTTTGATCGGAACAAAGCGCTTTCTATCTTCTGTTTTGCTGAAATGCGGTGCCGTCCCAATTAAATGCGTGGGAATAGAGGTACAGGGTTCTTCGTGGACGGCACCTTCGAATGATTAACGATAAAAATCTACACCAAATCCTCTAGCGAATGTTTGACCCGCAAAGACCGAGTAATCGTCCAATTGATCTGAAATTAAGTTTTTAAATGATCGGACTAAAATTACGTCACAGCCTAGTATTACCGTTTGCTACGCCGACAGAGCCCGGATATTTGGCCTGAGTTGCAGCAGCAACTCTGGATGGGTGATGGGCAACAGGATTGATCCTTAAAAAGTTAGCATGTATGAATACTGAGCCTACTTCACAGTTCCAATAACTTACCTGAGCATTGCAACAGACTTGTTGCTGTGGTTGGCAGCATGACTGCACCACCTGATTGCAACACAATGACATCATCGGTTGACAGCAAGAAGGGGACTGAAAAAGGGCAGCATGAAACACTCTGGTAAAAGGGAGTTCGAGACTGGGGCACTTCCGTGCTCTTCAATACTGAAGAGGCCTACGGATGGAGGAGCACTTAGATGGATGACCATGTGCAATAAACTGGATGGGATGAGGGGAGAATGTGTGGCATGAAACTCGCCAGTCCTTATTAGTAGTACACTTTAAATGAGCCATTCCCTTACCACTTTACCCTTAGTCTTAGAGACTCCAAAGTTGTGCTCTCTAGCATTGGGTTAATGCATAATATCGTAGCGTTTTTCTTTTCGAGCTACGAATTCAGTGAATACAAGTATTACCCAGGAAATCACATATATCGAAAGTACTTCTTCTGCTCTACAATACCTTGTTTGCATTTTCTTCTATATTGTAAGTGTACTCAGATATGGCGCATGAAATTGGAGAATTAAGGTGGGTTAAAATCTATTAGGTCGGTCCATAATTTTTGAGAACCTTTGGTGTTTTTCGATTTATTACTTATCTTATTTCTCTGATCTACTTATCCAGCATAGTATACATCATTATTATTAACAACATATCGCCAATGCGAGGGTGGGTATTCAGTGCCTCTCTTGTGGACTTTCATAGAGTTCTGATCGAAGGAAAATTGTAGTCCCGAATCAGTTCTCAACCCAATCTGACATCATCAAGTTCCTGTTGGTTTCCCATAGTTCCTTCGGATGACCATCTATAATACTCATTGGTGATGTGGACTGGGTGCAGTGTGCTAACAAATCCACGAGCCGCAGTAGATTTGCTCAAACGATTCGGGAGTTCTGACAGCAAAACCCAACTCCCTCTGAATTCGAACTTCCTGAGTCGTTGGCGCAATACGGAGAGGGCCTTTGCGCTGGAACCGGCATCAACTAATACCAGTGTCAGTGATGGAAGAGAATCGTTGACAGCTTGATGGCAACGCCTTCAACTTGAAAGCAAAGGAAGACAAAATCTATTTTTTCTGAGGTCGTTCGAGCCCGCCTTGCTAAGAAAATTCCTAAAAAATTGGAGACTCTCGGGCGGTCAGTTCTTTTAGCTCCGCCTTGTAGCACTAATCCTGCGTCAACGAACGACTATCCGCTCTCCTCTCTCAATCACCTTCTGGAGAAGAAATCTCACTTGAATCACCATAAAGTCAAAATCGACATCCAATATTTCTTCGATCAGAACTCTATGAAATTCTACAAGAGAGACACTGAATACCCACCCTCGCATTGGTTATATGTTGGTAATAATGGTGATGTATACTATGCTGAATAAGTACATCAGAGAAATAAGATAAGTAATTAAATCGAAAAACACCAAAGGTTCTCAAAAATTATGGACCGACCTAATATATAGAGAAAAAGCTGTTAAAATAAGAGTTTTTCGGAATTTCGGAATCCTTCACCATCATCGACTTACTACAGTCGACCCTTGATTTCAAATCATATTCACGTCGTACAAATTGAGAATAATGAGGATTCTGAAAACGGGCTCAGTACCCTTTTTTGATTTCTAAACCCGGTAATTTCTTGCGAAATGGAACCAAAGTCGTAAATAATGACGAGAAGAACATCACTGATCAGTTTTATGCTTGGCTTTGCTTTTGGGTTTTGCTTTAAACGTTTTTGCCGAATGCGAGCGCTACGATATTATGCTCCGACCCAATAGTAATAATCAGCAACAAGAAGAGCTCCCCTCCCCTGCCTCCCTCCCCTCTCCCTCTAAACTCCATTTCAACAAGTACTCGAATATCTAACCATAACAACCTAATAACAACAATCAGAACATGGAATTCAAACATTTAACGTGCTCTGATTTGTCATGCTCAGTGAGCATGTGTACCTTCATGAGATCTCCGTAACTTTTGAGCAGCATAAAACCACTTCACTTTAAGATGCTGCAACAACAAATGCTTTTGATGCTACAATATCTTACGCTACGGTGTAGTTCCGCACCATGTTACAATTTTTTAGACTTAGAGATGCTATCAGAGCGTGCCAAGTATCACCGCTGTAGCGTGCCAAAATTGCTGTTTGCTAAGGGCAGAGAATTGCCATATGAGCGTAAAGTCCCTTCTGAAGATGGAGTGATAATCAATGAGAACGGTGAAGATTCTAAAGGCTCAACTTGCGACAAGCTGACACCGTTGAAATGTTAATGTTGAGGTTCGAAAAGGCGTCTGCGGAAAAACAAGCAAATTCAAAAAAAACGAGCAACGGCATCTTCTCCTAACGGTCTCTTCCAAAGTAGGTAGTTGAATTACCCACGGCTGGGGGTGCTTCGGTAACCGCTGCAACAACTTATATTTTCCAATCATACTACTTCTGAACATGTCATAGTTGAGCACTATTCACCCTTTCCTTTCCCTAGAAATTCAAAAAAATTACCCTTTCCTAAAAACTGGGGCGAGTTTTTAAAGAAATTTTTCCATGATTGTGGATTAAGCTATAAAGTTGCTCCCTAGGATATTTTGATCCGTAGCATCTCAGGTGCCGGCGCCAAGAGGGGTCAAGACACTTCAAGTCGCCCAATTTGCTGAAAACTTGCCGTCAGAGGTAGTAAGACCGGTAGAACATCTCACTAGTTTGTTGTGAGTGAGCCTTCAGCCTGGGCCACGGGTTCCGATGCCCAAATGATGTGCTAGTTTTGACGCCCGTGGCACGGGCGCCAGATTTTTTTTTGCTTTAAACTGATGTGATATTCGTGTTCTACGGGTCAAATTACCCTCGAAGACAAGTTTCTAGCCAAATCCACAGTCATGGACAAATTTCGATAAAAATCCGGCTCAGTTCTCCAGGAGTGGGGCAGTAAAGGTTAAGTAATGCCCGTAGTTCTTCAACGTTACAAAATTCACTCGAAGCACAGGGGAATCATCCATACGCGAAAGCAAATCTAGAACTAACAAGTTCCCAACGTGAGGCGGAGTACCTACACACAGGAACGCACCTTCCTGAGGGGGAAATCGCGCAATTCGTCCAGAACACGGATCCTGAGTCTGGATTTCGTTTAGTGAATTTTTGCGCATTATGACTTTATTGCTGGGGCACTTTCTCCCACAGAAGTGCCCTTGCCTTCTAATTGGGACCTCTACCCTTTCCGTCAACCATTCGATTAGAGCATCTACTTTATCTCGATTTTTGGTAGGTGGACTCGCTAATAGATACAACATGATCATTCAGGAAACACCGAAATCAACTATTATGTTTTGTGTGAATTGAACCATACATTTCATTTGACTATTTCCGGTCAACCAGACCCGTTGATTCCTCAATTGTTTAACCCATTCGCGACTATGGCAGTCACCGGTGGCTGCCACGGAGGTGATCACTTGGGGCAGTGACATTCACCGGTGGCTGCCAAAGGTCTGACTCGCGACAATGGCATTCACGAGTGGTCGCTGGGTTTTAAATGAAAATGAATCCGACGCTGGTCCGAACGGGCAGACCTTGAAAATCTCGCGCGGTCGCGAACGAGTTAAAAACACATTTTTTCTCTCTCTTGATAAGGCACGACTCCACTGAATTGCATCTGAAGACAAAGAACACTAACCCGTATTGCACAGCAATTGCCACTACCACATGCTTGATTTGCAGCTAATTGGCAGGCAGATATGCAAGTTGGTGAACAAACTCCTAAAGAATAAGTAGTTAACTACGCTAACTTGATTTCAGTTAGGAAAGATTACCACATCCTCCAGCTGTCCCTTGGAAGCTTTGACCTCCCCCACACGGACTGAAGTTCATTGGCATGCACAAGTCGCCTCGTGAGCTGACCAGTTGTCCACCACAGCATCCCTGAAATCGAAAAGACATGTCGAACAGCCCCATCAAGACGAGTGCCTGTCGCGCCGGAATTTTTGACCCCCCTTAATGAAAATGTTATACGGAGAAGTTTTCCTACCTGGTTTTGTGGCACTGCATACGACGGCTGAGGTACATGGTGGAGAAGCTGCGGTTGCGGCAATGAGTAAGCTTGGAATTGGTGTACCGGTGGGAATTGTGGCACCGATGGAGATGGTGGAAATACTGGCGCCGATGGTTGAAGTGGAAAAGCTGGTGCTGGTCCAGGCGGTGGCGGTAGCGGTTGCGGAACGAATGACTCTTTATATTTTTCCACACTTTGAGTGAGTGCGGGTCGTGGTATGTACGGCCGTGGTGCGTACGGTCGCAGCGTCTTGTAGGAGGACGGGTTGACCTGATCAATTACATTTACTCATTACGTTCGAAAAGAAGTGATTCATGAACAAAAAGAGTGTGCTACTGGCAGAACGGACCTGGATTTTGGGACGAGTACCATATGCAGGTCGAGAGACTTGTTGATTCACTTGTGGCGCAGTGTTTCTGCAACATCGAATACTTATGAACACGCACTACCTTTTGCTTTGAGAATTCAAATGGAAATCTCTGACGACTCTGAGCGAAATAATGGAATTATGCTGATGAAGCAACATTTTATTTTGCTCAAATAGGGTAGCGGGCGGAACGTCGCTTAGTTTATATTTACAACGTCTTCACCCTTTTGGACACAATGCGCTGCTCCGCCGTAATCGCTTTCGCTGTGCGAGCAGTTTTAAGAAGGTTTGCAAGCAACGATAGCTTTTCCTGCGAGGCTCCTTCCACAACCATATAATCGCATTTATACGAATTGAGAGGTTATGGACTGGGAGGTCAACCGTCTCTTTCCTCCTGTTCACTTCCCCCTATTCAGGTGCATACCACAGTAGTGCATACAGGGGGAGGCCAGAAAAAAAGACATTTTGCCCAGGTCGCACTTCGGCCTTTTTTCTTCGCAGAGATTGCCGTCGTTGACGGAAGTTCCTCAGCAAAATATTCCCTAAATGTCCCTCTATAAGTACACGCAGGCCCTCCTTCACTGCCCTCACCGTCTTCAGAATATGACGTCATCTGTCACCGTCGTCGAGCTCAGGGAGGCCTACAGTAACTGCTTCAGCCTGAAGCTCTTACATAATTTCTTGGATCGATTCAACGTGGGATAGTTTCCTAGGGACATTAGCTCTAACTATGCAAACCCCCTCGGAACCCGCCCTTCGGAACCCGTCGTAACGTTACACGTGTGAAAGCATTCTCATGAAATGAAATGCGCTCTTCAATTCTAAGTTGGGAGCACACGCTTTGAGCTGAGCAAAGTGTGATTAAATCCATTTGAGTCTGGAGACAAAATGTCTTTTTTTTATTGCGCCCCCCCCCCCCCTGTGCACCATACAAAGGCAGAGGTGGTCTAATGGGAAGTAGCCGCTTCCCACGCATATGCGACGAGGTTGGAATCACCGCTTGAATCCCACCCAGATTTGAGAGGGTCTAGGCCCTCCCTGTATCGGAGTCTGTTGATGCGCAGCAGATGCCTGGGAGGAGAAAAACAATGTTTTTCAAGCACATGTGTTGGCCGGCGCTTGTTCTTTTCAGGCTGAATCGTAGTTGCATCCCAACACAATTTAGAGTGGAAATGGCTCGCCTAATGTCAGGCATCTTTCGAGAAGGCTGTGGATTATTATGTCTCTGTTTTGAGTAGAGCAAACAGGCCATAAAAACTCCGACAAAACTCCTGCCTCTATTGGCGATTTTTGTGAGGAGTTGTATGAGTGGAAGGAACCAGAAGGTTGAATTCCTCGGCTCGTGCGCCCAATAAATGCATGGACGTCGCTAATCATTAGCGTCAAATTTGGAAGGACCTCTCAGGATAAAATAATAGATAAAAAACGATTTTTTGTGTGGATGAAAACACTTGCGGGTACATCAGCCGCCACCCGCATGTCTGCATAGGCAGACCGTATTGAATTGCACTTACTATTTTCATTGAAATGCTCTTTCTAACAAGGGGCCGAATGCCTTATCCCTTACTGCATTAGAGTTAGCCGTAGTATGATGCGTTCAAGAGATTGAAGGCAAGCCCCGGCTTAGACTCACGACTAGGAAACATGAGGCGAATGAACGTGTTAGGTCCACATTTATGGATGTCGTGCCAGGTTGCCGTACAAAATGCGCGGTTAGGGCTCTGATTGTTACTATCCTGCAGCGCAAGCATTCCCGTATTGTAAGGCATGAACGATGATGGCCGCTGCTACCATGTATAATGGTCAACGATGTAGCTGTTACCAGCACTTCAAGGTAAGTATAAGATCGGAAGGTAGCAATTCATGCGGCTATGTTGGAAAAAAAAAATTCGTCCAGACACGCTCCTTGCACATTCCAAGGTAAACTGCTGTTGCAAGAAAGGGGCTATTTTGGGACGTAACCAATGGTTTCTTTAGCTTCTTTTTCTTCTTCAGAGTATGCGCACCCCAACTTCATTGCTGAGCGCTGCCACCCATCACTTCTATCCGGCGACTTGTCCCTGAAGGCGAACCCGAGGATAAGCCAGAAGAATAATGCGTGGGAAAAAGGTCCCTACCTAGATCACTCCGGGCTCTCTCAAACGGCGTGATCTCTCGCGTGTTTTGTCTTCTTTGACCGCCCTGCCTCGCCATCGTTCCACATCCGACCTTTTTGAAGGTTAAGGCCTTAATTTCAGCGATCCCAAAGATTTCTCTAGCTTTCCTTCCACTTTCAGGCCGTCCGCAGCTCAGTCACCACTACGCTCTTATCACCTGTTTCATCCGCCTGCCTTTAAACGAAATACAAAAAATATTTCAAAAAGCAGAGATGCCCCTGGAATTCCTTACCAACACTTCAGTCACAAGGTTCCCTTGATTAAGAAAAAAAGTGGAAAATTACGGGGTATTGCACGGAACTGCCGACTTCTCATTCTCAAAAACTCCTGATTTCTATTAATGGCAACTTGCTTAGGTAAAAGTGAATATTCAAACATCTCACCCTGTCTTCTCGGTGTCGATGACAGTCACTGGTCCTTGAGGTTGTCCGTGGTCTTCTTCAAGGTTGTTGTAAGACGACTCTACCGCATTACTCGTCGCCTGTTCTTCTGGTTCTGATTCTTCAGGAAGCTGCGGAGATGTTTCAGGAACATAGGAGACCTGCTGAGAAGTCCCAGAGTAAGACTGTTCAGAGCCGTGTGCGGGCGAAGCATTTATGTATTGTACACCCTCAGAAGCAGATGTTCCAGGTGTAGGCAATGTAGTAGTGGCCGGGTGAATGATAGCCTCCGGTCGGAGTTCTGGCTCAGGTGTTGTCGTGGGCGCTACGTAACCATTTTGGCCATACGACTCGACTGGCAACGGTTCTCCGTTATTTTCGTAACTCGGTGACTGTGCAGAAGAGCTGGCAGCATTTTCAGTTTGAGATGATGGTTTGACGTCCGTATACGTCGACGCGGGCGCCGGAACTGGAATGAGGGAGGCGTGTGGTTCTGAATGGCCCTCGTTTAGGTTGGTGTAGCTGCTCTCTGCTGAACCGCTGTCTGGCTGCTGTACAAAAGCTTGTTGTGTTGTAGTTACTACAACTATTGTTGCTGGCGGCACTGTAGGATTCGGTTCCATCGGGAGTAGCGAGGAAGAAGGAGGAGGAGCTGCCTCGTGGATTTCTGAGTAAGAGTTGCTAGGAGCAGGAGCTTCGTTACCGCCAATATTTTCGCCTTCTGAAACACTAGAAGAGGCTGAAGTAAGTTGAAGAAGACGCAAGAGGTACTTCAGGTGCGGCTCCAATACTGGCTACAGGCCCTTCTTCTGGTGTAATTGGTTGGGAAGGCGCTGGTGGTGGAGGAAGTGCAACTGTCTGTGGAACAGGTGGTTGTGGCGCAGCAACCGCTTCAGCCCCTCCTACATATGCACCAGCCGAAGGCTGCACCTCTACTGGTGCTTCTACTTTTGTTTCAGGCGCTTCCACAACCTGCTGAGGAAGTGGCTCTGGAAGTGATACAGGTGGTGCGCCGTTGCCTCCAGAGTAGACGTTGTTCGAAGGAGAAGGTGCTGAAGCAGAATGTGCAGGTGTTGGTGCTGTTTGAGGTGGTGAAGGGAGAGGAGGTGCTGGTTCTGGCTGCGATACAGAGGCTGGTGCAGGGGCTGGTGCAGGGGCTGGTGCAGGGCTGGTGCAGGAGCTGGTGCAGGAGCTGGTGCAGGAGCTGGTGCAGGAGCTGGTGCAGGAGCTGGTGCAGGAGCTGGTGCAGGAGCTGGTGCAGGAGCTGGTGCAACTGAAACAATTGTGCATTGGTAGTGGCTCTCGAAGTGCTTTAATAAACCTGAACTATACGTTCGAAAGGAAAATGGTCGAAACCATCGGAGCTCAGCAGCATTGAGTTATGTGAATATGGGGCTGTCCAACTATACTGAGCCCCTCCACACAACTCCGCAGAAACTTACTAAGCACTTATACCACTTGGTTACCCAGTCGCTAAAGATTCGTGAGAACGTATCTGAATAACGCTGAAGGGTTGCTTAGGTCATTTGTACCTCCCTTCATCAACGTCTTAGCCTTACAAGGGAGGTCTTTCAGGGCAAGCCACGCTTTTTCAAAACGGTTTTTTGCATATTGTAGGGACGCATGTAGGGAACACAAAACCATGTTTCATTTTCGCTGAACGGTTTAGCAGTACCAAAAAAGAAGCATAAGGTACTGTTAATGGTTCGATCCCCGTGGCGACTAAATTTTGCATTTGGGTTGGCGCCTACGGTTTGGTGCCAAATCGCGCTAAATATCAAATCAGATGTCATATTCATCGCCAGGACCAT